GTCTGGATCTTATATTATACAATTTAGTGTTTAATTACACTATCTAAACGGTGCGGTTAATTTCGCAGACCTCACGCGAGCACAGATGATATCAAATATTTATTAGTTTAACATCTGAAGTGTTTATGAAGTATAATGTTATGCTTTTATGCTATTTTAGTTACACATAAGGGGAAAACTGTTTTAAGTAACTCTTAAATTTTTAAGCAATGTATTAAAGTGACAATTAACAAAGCTAAGATCCCGGAGGACACACAGGTCACTGTTTCTCGAGGATTAGATACACATACTAGTAATAACATTGTATTATTGTAAACCTGTGTATTGTTTTGGATGTATGCAAATTCTAAATGTAAACATTGACTTTAGTAATACACAAAATAGATAAGGTTGGTTTAGTCACATTGCGAAGAATCTGCCGGAAGCTAATGGGCGACCCACAATATCTTCCAACTGAGATAATCTGCCGCGCTAATAAAGGGGTGCCGTGTATAAATAAGCTTTGTTCATATTATCGTCGGCTCGGGATCCTTTTAAGGCTAATATTACGTCTGAATAGTGCGAAGGTCGTATTGTATTAGGCGCTGTTTTCATTATGAAATTAGAGTTCTATAATTTTAAAGATTATTCAGCAACAGAAAATTGTTGTATAAATAATTATTTATATTTAAACGTCCCTTTTGTTCTTTATTTACATAAAGGCTTTGCTTATATTTATAATCTTGTTAACATCTGAGCCTTAAGGTAAGTGTTATTCTAGTAATTTATAGCTGATAATTAAAAGCAAATAAACCAAATAATTAAACATGTTTGCATTGTTAGTAGTAGAAACGTTCGGACAGCCGATAGTGGCTTTACCTACAGCTACCGGAAATTCGATAACATTAAGTACATCAAGCTCCCAAAAGTCTCCCATTTTCATTGTTTAATATAATTTAAATTCCTTTTTGCACACGTCTAAATTCAGTTAAACTAATTTTATTTTCATTATAGGTACCGGAGGCCTATTTTTAGTCCTCTTTCTCGTAAAGGATGGGTTAGATTTTTCGGATGAGGTCATGCACGGGAACGTAAAATATTCTCTTTCTGTGCTTGTCCTCCTCCGTTCATTAAAGGTAGGCAACTCATCAGCAATTGTAGTTGTCTATGAGCAACGGTCGCTTCGCTATTTCAGCAATTTCGTGTGGCCGCAGATATAAAAAAAACGTAATTTGTATATGTCAATAAACGCGTTATTCTATATAAATAACGAAGTTGCTAACTTTTTAGATAATAAAATGCAAATTTAAATCCTGACGGAATTTTAATGTTTTTAAATAATTGAGATATCATTCTATTCCTGTTATAATTTGAGTCAAACAATAGCTCGTCCTGCCGTAGTTAAATGCAACAATTTTCCACATCTTGAACCCGTTGAATTAAAATTCATTTACAAATCTACATATAAATAGCACCTGCAGTATTTAAATCCAGTTTTGTGTACGCGATGTATCGTATTTTACTGTTATTTGCCTTTTTTTCTGCACTTTTGGTATGTTTAATTACTACTAAGCTCTATTTTTATTCAAAGAATACAGTTTTATTTGGGAATATTATCTCAATACTAATTAAGACAAATATTTAAAATACTGATCACTCACTAGTTCACTTTAATTTAATAAAATCCTTCTTACGGTATTTTAATTTAACGAAATATTAAAGTTGTAAGCGAGAATAAGGTATCTTCACTATTATGCGTATATGATACGGGGCACTTAATAAAGGTCAGCGTTGATAAAATAGATTCAATATGAAAATCAGACTTAGAATGACGATTAATTTATATTGCTAATAAAAAGGATAGCAGAATACAGTACCAAATTGTTTTATAATAAATCTTATAAAATAGGTATATAAAATATAGGTGGAAATGTAAGTATGGTTTTCATCTATTTGAAATAGAATGTGAGATATATTCTATGTCTATATAAGTATTAATGCAATAGAAACCCACAATAAATATAGAAACACCGGAGAACTTCATGAGAATAAAAATAACCAAAACAATGGTATCAATTGATCTCGTAAATTACATAATTTACACCTACATTATAGGTGCGTTAATATTTATCCATTATTGGTCATTTTTTATTCATCATCATCATCATCAGCTCACTATACGTCCCCACCGAGGGGCTCGGAGCCTACCCGAAGTTAAGGGTGATTAGGCATTTTTATTCACCAGCACTTATCTTAAAACTTACTCTTTTTGTTAAAAGCAAAAAAATACAACATTTCGATGAAATGCTTCAAATAAAGTAGCTCAGTCCAATGTACTTATAAAATTGTTCTAGGAATTTACCTGTTTGTATTTGTTTACTGCGTTTTAAATATTAACATTTCCATCGTTCACAGTTGTGCAACATTTGTGGCATAAAAGGCCGGGATCGAAGACCTTGCCGTGGAATGTATCGAACTATATTCATTAATATTGCACCATTTTAAACTTCTCAATTATCGTCAAACCAACAACATTTTTTTAAATACTATTAAACGATACAGCAAATTGTAATCTCTTCTTTAATCTGTATTGACACTATCAATAACCATTTCCACAAAGTTAAATTACCATAACTATTGATTTTCAAATTAAACAATTGACAACAAACTTTGTTTAAAAATGAATCATAAACAGAAGAACAAAACAAAATAACCGGCCAGCTACTTTTTATTCTTTAACATAACCTCTTTACCCGACCTCTTTTTTCAAATACTTTTTCATAATTTAATTCCTTTACAATGTCTATATCACCCTTAGAAGATGATAATATGGAAGATATCAATAAATTGATAAACAAATTATTTATAAAATTCTAGCTTTTGCCCGCGATTTCGTCGGCAAGAAATAAAAAAGAGACATACCAATTAACCACAAAATAAATATGAGATGAATTATATCATGCCTTTTTATGTAACAAACAATAAAATTTATTATAAAAAAGGGTGTTGACAGACAGACGGACGGACAACAAATTGACCCTATAAGGGTTACGCTTTTTTCCTATGAGGTACGGAACCCTAAAAAACAATATCGTATGGATCTTGTGATGGGTAAAACCACGGTGCAAAACACGTACTTAATAAACATGTTACAAATCTAAAAAAAAAACAGAACTAACCAGTTGTATGTGTATAATTCAATACGAAAAATTTCCAGAGCAACTTTTAGCAAATTTCAATAAAGCGCTAATTTGGCACCAAATTATAATGTCAAATAATATGTGTTACCCAACTAATTGGGTTGGATGTTTTTCCAAGATTTGTACATGAGTATGTAATGTAGTCATCCATATAGCCTACACTGCTTTATCGAATTTGAAGAGTAAAGGAGCATTAAATTCGTAATTTTCCGTGGAATATGATGTTGGCGACGAATATGTTTATTTTGAATTAAAATAATCAAGACGTCGAATATCAATTTAACATAAAAATGTTAATTGGCTTTTTTAAAGGAACTAGCATCAAAAGGAATTTTTTGTAGTAAAGCAATAAACAAGTAAAGATAATTTTAAAAATACGAGAAACGAAATGTGCATTCCTTAAAGACAATAGAGCTGCAGATTGGCTATTTTACTGCAGCCATTAGAGCAAGGAATTTTTGAACTTAAAAATATTAAACAATAATAAAATTCAATGTTTCTTAAAATTTGACAATAGATGCAAAAGACGGCCACGGCGAGGGAATCATAAAATGTTTTAAGTTTATTGCACCTAATTTGTATAATGGCTTGCAAGATGTGCAAGAACCGTGGGACCAGATGCCAAGAAGGAATTCAAGTAAATAATAAATATATAAAATAGTGATATTCGATATTAAGTGATATAGTGAAATTAGTATGTGAAATAAGTGAGTGTCGCCACAGATTTATCCCCAGTTAGAGTCAGTGTAACTCGTGTATGTATGTAGGTATAGCTCTTAAGGTACATCGCCACTGTAATGTAAGTTTAATGTAAATTGTTTATAACCTATATATTATTGTAATCATTTGTTGGATAGGTTATTTACCAGAATGTACTTTCGCGTGAATTGATTTTTTATGTTATTAATATCGAAGTAGCATACCACTGCCCATACATGTTTATAATATGTGTTTATAAAAATGTGACTAGATTATGTTAAGGTAGTTTTAGTAATCTAGACTTGTATAAGGTTAGTTTATATTGAATATTGTTGTTAATTTAACTAATCTGTAACACATATGTGAATTTATAATATTGTTTCTTCGCGTGTACATGTATGTGAATTGAAATATTGCGGCATTAATTGATAATATTATGTTGTGTTCCATTTGTACTTTTAATGTCCTTTTGTAATTATTTTGTAACTATTTTCAAATAAAGATACGTCTACAGGGTCAGTCGAAACATGCGGGGGTCCGAGCGCTACCTGCTTAGCGCGCATATAAATAGGGCGCCGTTCGGCGCAACACCAGTCGCATCACAGCTTCTACCGAGACCACACGCACGCGTTTTGACTGACCCCGAGGAATTACACAATTTAATTTAAAGTGTGAACTCTTGGGCGATTTTCCTGCGTTTTTGGTCGTAGCAAAATTGGCTACTCTTTTGTGGGTCCTGGATCGGTGTTACCGGCGCAAAGTGAGGTCCGAGTTGCGTGCCGCAAGGTGCAAGACGAGGTCCCTTACTTTATCTTATTATCACCGGTCACCCAATTGGGAGCTTGTCCCAGGCAGCGAGTAGGTAGTGCCTTTACGGGTGCTACCTAGCTTCAAGCAGCCGAAACAATGATTACTTGTTGATTTAAAAACAAAGTAGATTTATTTATATTATATAGTTTAATGAGTTAAACTTATTATAAAATTTAATTTAAGAACAAAACATTTTTAATATTTATGAATGGAATATTCCAAAAACAAATATATTCTTAACAAGTAACATCTTTCGCATAAATGTTTGAATAAAAATCTCTTTTTTTACGAAAAAAGAAATAAAACGCTTGTTATTAAGAATTAAATCAACTTTAATAAAGGATAAAAAAAATATAGTTTTAATTTAGTGTTTTGGCCTATGTTTAACCAAAGCTCTTGACAACTGAAAACTTAGTGCCCAAAACATAGCAAAGTTTGACAGGCTCGGTTCGGTTTAATTTGGTGAGTTTAATTAACTGCCACTTGCTGGCTTACTAAATCTTACCCTTTGCAAATTTTAAGTTTTCAAAGCGAGCTTTTAGTTCCCTTCCTGTTTGTGTTATAACAAACTTTTATGGATCTGCTAATTTATTTATCTCAAATAACTTCAAAATATTAACACCGGTAACTAACATAGTGGTAGAAAGAAATTACTCTTTCACTTATTAATACGAGGACTTTTCTTATTATAGTTTTTATTGGTAACTTGAAATACCCATTTTGTCATACAAGTTTGCCTAATATAATACATTCGCTACATAATTTTCCTTTTTTCCTTATCTTAAAATATGGTATCACTGTTTACTTTACTAATCAAAAACATTAATTCAAACCCTTATATTTTTAAATTAAATTATAAATTAAATCTTAACTTAAAAATCATTTCATAGTTTACAAAATTAAATGTTAAATAATACTGTTTGAATATTCATTTGCTAGACGATGTCGTAACGTGAAAAAAGCTATTGCCCTAAACAGTACAACAAATACAGATAAACCAAGAATTTGAATAATATAAGTATCTCCTTCCATACCGAGTTCTTGGAGTACGTATGTCGGATCTCCGTATACACATATATCTTCGGAGCAATGCATTCTAGTACGATTCTGGTACATTGGTAGAGTCATTCCAGTAAGACCATATCGCAAATACGACAAGGACATCAGAAACCTCATTCCTGACTCTATTTGTCTACCGAAACCCATGCCATAGCAGCACAACACTAACAGTGGTGATATTATAGATGGTCCTAATATAGCACCATTCTGAAAATAAAATTGTTAATAAATAAAACATAATTTTATATAACTGATACATACCTAAAATAATAAATGTGAATGTTTAGATGGATCGATGGATGGATGTTTGTAAGAAGATATCTTTGGATCGGATCGACGGATCTTGATGAAATTTGGCATAGATGTAGAACATAGTCTGGAGGACCACATAGGCTACTAGTTAAGTTTTTTTATCCTGCTCGGATAGAGTCGATTGTGTCAGCTAGTTAATTAATAATTCTATGGCTTTCTAAACCATTGGATAGATTTTATTCCTCTAGAATACTTCTAAGGGTTAGATAAACATTTTACATGAATAAGTCTTTTGCCAAAAATATCTAATACAATTTTCAACTTACTGTGCTATTAAATATTGTTCCAATAAGTAAACCGAGACCTTCGGAGCAGAAACCAGTTAAGAGTCCCACTATTGAAAATAAAATGAATCGATGCCATTCGAAAAGTTGACCTGACATGAAATATGTCATTGTTATGAAAATCATTCCAAAAAATATCTGTCAAGAAAAATATTTAATTAGAAAACATACAACTGTCTCTAAATGCGAATGTTTGTATGTAAGGATGGATGGATGTTTGTTAGGCAGAGATATAGAGCATAGTCTGAAAGAACACATAGCCAACTATTTAAGAGTTTTTTTAATTTTTTTTTTTCAAAACAAAAATTAGTGTTTTTCTGCAAAGTTTTTAAGACTATATAAATATAATTCTACACACCGCTGGTGGAATTGTAGAGAACGTTAGAGCGGCGTAATATGCCTTAAGTCCATACCATCTGTTGAAGTACTCGCGTCGAATTATTCTTATTTCCATTGGTACTGAAAATACAAAAAAAAATTGTAAAGTATTTTTTGCCACAAAAAAATTAAAATTTTTAACTATAAATTATACTTACAGAGTAAAATAGGAACCATAGTATAAGTGTATATTACAAACACAAGCATGCAGATATAACATTTGAAGTTAGCCATTGGTGTACTGCCTTCATTTCCAACCATATAAAATATGCCGCCAATGAAAAAACCGCATATTATATATTGCATTAATTGTATAAACCAATTTAGCTGAAATAAGACAAATTATTTATTTTTTATTTCTAGTTTACTCGAAAATTTTCGCCTAGTACCAAAATTTGAATAACAAAAAATTCGTTTTTTAAAAATTAAAAAAAAAATCACCTGCTTACGTTTACTCTGTAAATAAACCCTTTTTATTAAAATTAAAAATTGTGTGCAAAATGATGTTGGATATTCCAAATTCAAGAATTTATCTTTGTTTACTTCTTCCATACATTTGTTGTTTCCAGATTCTTCTAAAGTACTTAATTGAACCCTGTAAAACAATACTTACGATTATTTTATAAAAAGAAAATATTAAAATAAAAAAATAAAAGTATCCTTACGACATGTCCTTAGACCATCTGCTTATTTTCCCATTTTGACATAAATCTGACATTTGATTTCTTGATGTTATTTCTGCAGCCAAAGTTTCAATCACAAAATCGGCAGGATTGTGCGATTGTGGGCAAATAAATTGAGCCTCTGTTAAAAACGGCACTAACTGAGAAGGAGCACCCTGTAAAATAAAAAACCCAAGGTAACACAATGCAACAAACCAGATTAGCAAAACAACGTCTATCTTGCTATTTTTTTTCTTGATTACATAATTACAAAATTTATGGAATACCAAATTTACAGTATGATTTTTCGTTTAATTTTTTGTTATGAATATTAAAATGTATCCTGAAAATATCTTAATTGCAGTGTACAAACGAAATATTTGATGATTTTCAATTATCAATCTATAAGGAGCAAAATCTAATCTGCAAAAGTTTTACCTGATAACAACATTGCCCTCCACATATCACGTAAGCATTGTCAAAAATATTAAATAATGATGCTGAGGGTTGATGAATTGTGCAAATAATAGTACGACCTTGACGAGACAGCAGACGCAGTAAAAGTAACAGCTGTCTCACGGACACCACATCCAATCCTCTGTAAAGAAAATAACTAACATTCAAAAAATACAATAAATAAAATAGCAATAAAGCAAAATTAGTTAATTTAAAATAATATGGAGAACTGATCGCCAACCTTCGCTAGTCGGAGAGGCACCTCAAGAAGAAGAAGAAGTTAATTTAAAATCAGTATCAAACCTACTGAGTGTTTTTAAAGATGAAGATACCTTAATTGCGTAGTTAAGAAATTATATTCGGAAACCTCTAGGAAATTAGCATTTGGATAAGTTAGATTCTGTAAAAATTATGATGTAACTTACGAAGTTGGTTCATCCAGGAAAATGACTGGAGGATTGTTAACTAACTCTAAAGCAATAGCTAGACGTTTTGCTTGGCCACCGGATAGTCGCTCACACATCGTGTGCCTTTGCCTCCATAGTCCCAATGTTTGTAATATCTCCGTTACCTATTATAATAAAAATTGTTAAAGAATAATTGTAGTAGTCACCCTCGAAAACTTAAAAAAAAAAATATTTCTCACATTTTATGATCCAAGTTTCGAGAACTTTAGATTACGCGAAAAACAAATACGTTCTTATACTCACAATTATTTTTTTGTTAGCTTTTTTTATTTCTGCTCCTAATTTCAGTTCCGCTGCAATTCGCATTGCCTCTAAAGTAGTGAGCCTTGGTTGTAGAATATCATCATGCATGATGTAACAACTTAGTTTCTTAAATATTCTCATATCACGATCTTCGCCATTAATTTGTATTAATCCTTTGACACCATTTTGGCTACAAAAATTGTCACATGTATAAAATTAAATCTTTTTAGGGTTCCGTAACTCATAGGAACAAAACGGAACCCTTATAGGATGACTTTGTTGTCCGTCCCTCTGTCAAGACTGAAGTTTCTCAAAAACGCGTGAAGGTATCAAGCTGGATTTTTTTTAAACTTTAAAGTAATTTTTATATAGCGTTACATTTTATAATAATACAGTTACCTGAGAAACTGAATTTTAGGGGATTGCTAATGTTTTTGGTTTATAAGTTTGAAACTGACCTTGAAAATATACTCGTCAATCTCGAGTGAAGGACCGACAAACTTGTTTAAAATTTTCCATCGAAAGTCGTGCAAAAAAAAACTGTACCAAGAACATGTAATAAGATGAAAAGAATGGTATACCAATCTTAAATATATTATAAAAACCAATGATATCAAGAAATTGCGAGATCTAAGAAATAATGGATGCGTGAAATGTTCAAGTTATCTTTAACGCATCTATTACTCTTTACTTATACTTAAAAACTGATCGATAAAAATGGACGATTGAGCGATATCTAAAGCACATGATGATGATGATGCTTATATAAAATTCACGCCTGCGAGAAAAATATATAACAAATAAAGGCACTTACTTATAGCCTGTTAGGATGTGAAGAAGTGAGGACTTGCCAGCTCCTGAAGGGCCCAGGATACATGTTAACTCCCCAGAGCGAAATTCCCCCGAAATACTGCGCAATATTTGACGTTTTTCTACAGAACAAAATAAATGGATAAAAAAACGTTTTCTTGGATTATATTATAACAAAATTACTTGATTCATATCCTAGTCACAAGACCCCTTATATAGTACCTAAGAATCTTTCATTTAAGCAAAAATTTGTTGACAAACAGAAACATAATCAATAGTATTATAAGATATAGAAATTTCGACTACACAGTGAAATTCGGAAATCCCATCTATTCCTATACGCACTGACGTACCGTATGTTTCTGAAACCAAAATCCCCTTTTAAAAACATATTGTTATTTCTGTTTTGTCAAAGATAACAGGGACAATGTTTTTATACAGAGATCTCAGAAACCAAAGGTACGCAAACAGTCGAAACTTGATTGTACTAAGTAATTAATTGTAATTAGTAAGTATTGTAATTGTTAAGTCACCACATTAGCATATATTTTTTTTTTTCATATTTTCTTATAAGTTAGGTTAAGACTAATTATAATTAGTATATGAATCTCGTTTATAAAATGTTAAAATTATTTGCATCACAAATAATGCATGGCAATGGTATTGTAACTTCTAAATACAATTTTCAAACAAAGAGTATTTGCAGTATTTTAATTTATGTGTTATTCCAAAGAGAACAAGAACGATGACATTTGTAACATGTAGTTCGACAGTGGGAACAGTAACGCGTTAGGAAGTAATAGTAGAGCTTGGATACATCTAAACATCTCCTTGAGATCAATTCTTTGGATATGTTGTACTTTAAGATGATTTAATTAAACTAGTTTTTATATATTTGTCTATATAAAAAACAAACAAGTTTTTTTCTTAATTATTTCGTGTAATTTTTTAAGCAAAATGCACGGTAACTTTATACTTGGAACTTGTTTTACATATTTAATAATCTTCCGCAACTATATTAAGGTTACTTTTAATAGTTTTAATAGCTTATAAGTATTACCGAAACTCTGTTTACAGCCAGCAAATTATGATGTTTGAATTCATTCAAACATCGAGCAAATTAATTATCATTTGATACCAGTTATGTTAAAAGGTTACATTTACTATTTCACGATTTCCAAATCACAAGGTCGTATATTCGCGACTTTATTTTGACCTATCATAATATAAATAAAATGCAATGTATGTTTGTTCTATATATATTTCTTAAAACACGGGACAGATTTTAGTGGAATTTTATTAGGACATTTTTAGGCTCACTAGATATTTTTTGTACAAGTTACTTCTTACTAATATTATATATATTTAATAATAATATTTGGATGGATAGATGTTAGTTTGAAGGTATCTCTAGAACAGATGTATAGATCTTGCTGAGAATCGACATAGATTTAGAATATAGTCTGGAAGAACAGATAGACTACTAAGTTATTTTTTATTACCGCGCGGACGAAATCGTGGGCGACAGATAGTTTCTAATAAAACTATTTGCATGCTAAATTACATTGGACAGTGGATAAACAAAGGCTGATCATGATGTTGTTAACAATGTTTTTTTTATTTTCAGTAAGACAAAATTAAAAATTAATTTGAAAATTCTACTAGCTGTTGTCTGCAATGATGTCTGCGTTAAATCAATATAAACAAAGATAGAAATTCATCCATCCAAATTTTCAACTAAACTTTTTTTTCAAATATTAGTAGGAAATATTTATCTATTTTTGAATTAAATTAATCGTATTATTTTATGTCACGTCGATAAATTGGACCTTTTAATCGTTTTCATATATATGTAATTAACAAGCGTTATATGTACTTATTTGGAATTTAAGACCTCACAACGAAGATATATCGGTCCAATTATTATATGTTAAGATTAGTATCAAATATAATAATAAAAATTTACAGATAACTTTTTAAACATATTGTGTGTTTATATACAAATAACATAGATATCACTTTATTTTTATTTTTTAATTTTCTTTCGAAGGTTTTACGCATCTTGATTGTGGACGACAAATTAATTTAAACGAATAAATGACAGTATTCATTTTGTCTAATTATTTTATCAATTTATTATTTGTAATTCTATTTACCTCGAAATGAACTGACGTTATATTCAATGTCTCTAAACAAGACATTAACAGGTGGTCGTTTTGCAATACTATTTAAAGCCTTCAAAGATGTCCCAGCTTGAAACAAAAACTCGTCAATTCCTTGCTCTTCATTCGGAATACTAACATTCTTGTATGTTGACATTATTAAACGAAACGTACACACTATTATCTTATAAAAGGTTGTTCACACTGTTGTTAATTTTAAAGCGAATTAAAAATTGTAAAATTTATCATACGTATAAATATATACGTCCAATCGCACATTATATTCGTTCAAATGTCGCGGACCTACTGAACATGATATGTTTACGAATGCTAAATATTCCAAAGCACCCATATATGGAACAAGAGCGAAAGAATAAATTGCTATACATGCTTATTCATTTAGTATTACGATGAATCAATGAATATATAAAATTTTAACTATAGATATCCACTCTGATACACTTGTATATAACAAACTGACATCTTTGTTTATTTCAAATAGAATGAAAGAGAAGAAAATAAGCTTTTGAAACTTGATATGTACGTCTTTAAAGCGTGATGGTATAAAGGACTTTTGGATTTAACATTTTAAATGTTCTGTAAAATATCTTTTGAACAACTTTACGTGTTTG